GCTCGCTGAACCTCATGTTCATCGTCATCCGCCATCTCGCGCTGTTGGGCTTAACTGGAGACGCCAGGCGGGTTCCCCCGCATTCCTGGAAGGCGATTGAGCGCCTCTTTCTCTTCCTGGGTCATAGGCACAAGTCCCCGCGGAGGTTGGACCTCCCCGGCCGTAGAGCTCCCGTGAGCCGTGGTTCCGAGACGACGATTGACCTCGTCGATCTCTTCTTGGGTCATAGGAACCAATGGTGGATGACCTTCTTTTGCAGGAGTGCGGCCTCTGTTCGGGCTGAAAGCGTCATTGAGGCCTACGGGGCAACCAGGCCTGTGTTCCTGGAAGTCCTGTGAGCAAGGACCGCAGACCGCGTTTGGCCTGTAGCGGCGGCGCTCCTCAATGATGGCTCTTAGCTGTCTCCGCACTACCTCCTTCTCACCACGTCGGATGTTCGTCGCGAGCTGATATCCACCCCGTATGGACCTGCCTTGGGCGCCCCTGTAGGCTGGGTTGCCCTGTCCAAAGGCAGAGAGCTCACCCGTTTGGCGCCTAGGGTCGTTATAGGCGAGAAGTTGGCCCCCTCGTCGCGAGGCATGTTCTGATGGGGCTGCTTGCCTCCATTCACGTGGGGGTCGTGCTTGAGGGTGAGGGTCGCCCCTAAGGCGTGGATGCGAACGAGACCTCCTAGCATGTTCGTCAGATGATGCCGCCGACGTAGCCTGAATAGGAACCGGCGGGGGGTCCTGCGAGGCCTCAGGCAGCACATCTTGCGCAGGCAGGTTTCCCTGCTGACTGGAATCTGGCGCAATTGGTTCTGATGCGGGTGGTGGTGCGTCAGGACTATCTGGGTCGAAGTCCACCTCCTCGTCTTCGCCATTGACTTCCATCATGAGGATGGTGGCTTCGTCCTCGCACATTCCACATCCGTCATCTTCTTCAGCTTCTAACATAGGGTTGCCAATGACAATGGTCATTGGCCCAGCCGGGACGGGCAGGTTCCCCTGCTACACAGGCGTCTGAGCATCGCTTAACTGTCCCGGAATCGGCGGTACGACAATCGGCTCAGGCTCGTCACCGAGCACAGCGTGCTCCTCAAGCTGATCATAGTCATCTGAGGGCTGCCCGATAACATTTCGCATGGCCGTATGGTTGGGCTGTAGCCCCACCGCCTGGAGACCCCATCCCGGCGGAGGAAGCGCCTGTCCACGCACGGTGATAGCTCTTTCAAGGGCTTGGCGCCATCGCCCTCTAGAGTACCATACATGTCGCTGCACGTCCTCAGGGTGCACGCTGTCGATGAGAGTGAGGGCCGCCAACAATAGCTCCGAGTCGTCACAGGCATCGGTGTCTTGTAGCATCGCGTGGCCACTCTCGACACACTCTTGACTCTCGGGATATGCTACGACCAGTACAGCGTGCATCTGCATGAGAGTCTGCAGTATCGCGTGCGGTCCGTACTCGCCTGGTGCGAGCATGCAAGGTGGCACGTGAGGGTTTCCTGGCACGCCCATGGTAAATGTTTGAGCCTCTAGTTCCATCAGATCACCATAATTTGGAGGATATACTGGAGTGGGCCTGTTTCCAGGCACGAGGTCGGGTTGACGTCGAAGGTCGTGGTCAACCTCCGAAGGCGAGGCCTCAACAGTGACTTCCTCGTCGCTGCTCTCGTAGGCCATGATATTGCCTGGGTTACCGAACATCCAGACGAAGAAAGAAAGGGGCTGGTTTCCCAGCGCTCCGTTCTCCACAGGCGTAAGCTCGATATTTCCGAGGACAAACCTGCGGAGGTACTCGAGGTAGCACGCGTAAAGCCCATGGCCGCGCGCCTCGAGCTCATCCAAATTGTCCATATTGCTAGCCCTAGTGAAAAATATATGTTCCACAGCCTCGAAGTCTTGGAGGCTCAGATATTCAATGGGCGGTTCGCTTGAGCCTAAATGGACTTCGGTTGATCTACCCTTTCCATTTCCCTTCGCTGGACAATCCTTTACAAGATGATCGATGAGGCACTTCAAGATCTGGCCGTCTCTACCTCGCGGGTTTTCCCGCCTGCCCTTACCTTTGCCTGAGGTTTCCCCGCGGCCTTTTCTACTGCCTTTTCCCCCGAAAAATATCTCATCATACTGATCATCTGAAAGCCTCTGGACAAAAAGCCGCGACGCCTCGTCCGTTCAACCTTCGGCGACCCCGTTTGCCTGTACCTTTTCCTTTGAAGCTCCTCCGTACCCTCCTCCTAACACGACGCGCCGGTTTTCGTGTAAACCTCCTCCACATACGCTTTGCTTGTTGTAATAACCGGAACAGGTGTTCGGCACGCTGATTGTCACCTTCCGTTCGCATGATACCTGACCAATCTAGGGGTTCGATACCATCTGATGATATAATGTCGGTGTCGGTGCCGGAGTCGAAGTCGTCGTTACCTAAGTAGGTGGATATACCGTCGCATAGGGGATTCGCTTCACCCCATAGAGAACGGTGAGGTTGAGGCTCTCTAGGAGGAGGGATGGTTACCCAGCTTGGTTGTGATCGATCCCCTGCTAGTAGGGCAGTAGATTCTCCAGGATCGTCGGCCCATATGTTTGGGGGCCCGTTGCCAGGCTGAGTTTCAGCGGTTAAGGTAGTATAGAAATTTCCACTGCCAGTTCCCCTTCCCCTTTCAAACACTGATCCTATGTTACCAGGAGACCGTTCTGACAAATGGCCCATCGAACGCACCCTCTCGCACAGTTCGTCATACTGCTGTTGTGTTCGGAGCATTTGGTGGTTGAGTGGCTGTAAGAGTTGCATGGCTCGCTGGTTGCCAACGCCTAGGGCGCGGAACAGGATAGTTTGGAGCAGTTGGAAGTTGGGAAGGTCAAAGCCCACCGACTGTGCCTCAAGACGGGCAATCTCGAATCGAGTAAGGGTTACGTCGATTCGTTCTCCGTGAGGCACATGAAAGTCGATGAGCTGAGTGCCTGAAGTAAGCTGGCGCTCATCTTCCAGGCGTTCGAACTTCATGCTTAAGAGGAACATAATGTAGGTTACTGGGTCGGTGTGGACACCATCGATGTCCGCACCATAGTTTATGATGTCAGGTGGTACCCTCATGGCGAGTGTCCTCGCTAGGCCGCCCAGGCCGCGTTGCATGGCGGCTGCTTGGGCATGTGGCGTCATGCGTCCCCTCGCGACGTTAAGCCACGCGTTGACCTCGTAAACGTACTCGCGAAAGGGTACGTTGCCTTGAGGGTCCCAGTATGGGCCATGTGTTTGCCCATCTGTGCTATTGTCTCCTCGACGCATGTGTCCGATTGCCGCCCCCAGCGCAAACCATATGCTGGCGAAAATAACCAACCCTAGGCTGTGAAGATATGGGTGGCTATCAGGCGCGTTGCCGCGCTGGGGTAGGGCCTGTAGCGCCTTGTCAAGTCTGCGAGGCGCTTTATCTTGCGGGTCTCCCCGCCTACGCTTCAAGTACTGCGCTTTTGGCTCGTTGCCGAGCGGTTGGTAGTAGCGTAGTGATGAAGCGTATATGGTACCAATGTTGTTGTCTAGACGTCGTACCTCTCGTGTTGTTTCTTGCTCTTGTGTTGATCCTCGTAAGTGCAAGTGGAGTGGTGGCGCAGGGTAGAGGTCGGTCACGAAGATCGTGCCGGGTGGCGTGAGGATAAGAAGAGCAAGAGCTGACCACACGAGAGTGCGGCCAGCTCCGCTACCAAGTCTGAAATGACTCTGGCAGGTCATATAGCATCGAATTCCATGTCGAAGGAATACGATATGGGGAGTGGATGGATAAGATAGGATAAGATCGGTGTAATGATCTTTCCAGCACATAGCGAACACTAAGGTAAGTGTCCGGGCAAATAGGGCGCGCGTGCCTTGAGCCAAGACAGCGGCGCGCAGGCTATACTCCCGATCCTCTATAACATCTCCCAAAGAGCTACCCTTAAAGTTCCTTGTGTCACCAGAAGCACCGAGGAATGGACGAACGACGTGGATCGCCCGGCCACGGCAGGCCTCGGCCGCGAAGGGGCCCCGCGACCCGGGTTCGAGAGAGAAGGCCAAAAAAGACCAGAGCCCCTCCTGATCCCAAAACCTCGTCCTCCTCCTCTTCCTCCTCCTCCTTCTCCTCCTCGTGTTCCTCCTCCTCCTCCTCCTTCTCCTCCTCCTCCTTCTCCTCCTCCTCCTCCTCCTCCTCCTTCTTCGCCTCCTCCTCCTCCCCCCTCCTCCCCCTCCTCCTCCCCTACTCCTCCTCCTCCTTATGCCGGGGGCGCGCAAACATCGATCAGCGATCCATGGATTCGCCGCGCGGTCGCCAAATCCAAGGATCGGGAGAGGTGCCCTCCCCAAAATGCGGCCGGTGCCGCCCCGTTCGGCGGAGGAAGTCCGCGATCTTCCATGGAGGCGGACCCCGTCGCCAATCCACGCCCCCTCAGTCCATGTTTGCGATCGCCTGATGATTTCAAAGTCTTTTGATTGCATCGCGCTCTTCAGGACAGCTCCTCTTCAAGCATGGGGGGCTCTTGCCCGAACCGCAGGCCCGTGGGGCAATCGTCTTCAAAGGCAGTGCTTCCCGTAATGCCGAGGAAGTCCTACAGGGACTTACGAGGAGGGATCCTGGGACGGCAGGTACAGCATCGTTGATGCATCGTGGGCTTCCTCTCGTCCTCCTCCTTCTCCTCCGCTCCTCCTCCTCCTCCTCCTCCTTCTCCTCCTCATCTTCAACATCATCATTGTCACCCTCCTCATCTTCTTCATCCTCCACGTCCCCAGTAGCATCAACCTCATCATCAGCACCAGCATCATCGTCATCATCATCATCATGACCAGCAGCATCATCATCATCATCATCAGCAGCAGCAGCAGCATCATCAGTGCACTTATCACCATCACCCTATCGTCAACATCATTATCCTCATCATCATCTTCATCGCCAACATCATCGTCACCGCCTCTCCTCCTCTTTCTCCTTCTTCTCCTCCTTCTCCTCCTCCTCCTTTTCGCTATCATCTCCCATCCAAGGCGCGACGGGCGTCCTTCATCGTGCGCACGTCGTTGTTGGTGACGAAATTGATCGCCACGCCCTTCCGGCCAAAACGGCCGCTGCGCCCGATGCGGTGCAAGTAGTTCTCCATGTTCTGGGGCAAGTCAAAGTTGATCACCAGGGACACCTGTAGGGGGGGTCCCTTCTCACTCTCTCTCTCTCTCTTTCTGTTCGTCTGTTTTTGCCTCTGTCTCCCTGCCTCTGCCTGGCTCTCTCTCACGCTCTCCCTCCCTCCCTCTCTTTCTCCCTCTCTCTCTATCTCTCTTTCTCTCTCTCTGTCTCTTGTTTTTTTGTTATTCTCTCTCTCTCTCTCTCTCTCTCTGTCTCGATCTTGATATATATGTGTATATATATATAGATAGATAGATACATATATAGAGATGCACGCTCTTGTGTATATATCGTTCGTAACCCGAGGGGCAGCTCTGGGGTTCAACGAAGGCCTAGAAAGGCTCTAGAGCGGTCTACCAGTGCCTCTGCGGCACGGCGAATTTTGTAGCGATGACTCTGTGGGGCCGCATGTGCGCCTGGAATTGGGCAAGTGCGATATTGTAGATATCGTAAGCACGCACTAGGTGCTCAACTGCCTCGAGCGATGGGCTGCCGTTGAGTCCCAGCCGCTCGAGAAGGCAAGCAGGAGGGTCGAAAGGATGGCACGCAAGCCCCCACAGGATGAGACAGCGCACGTAATGGCTCATCTGACCATGGCATTCGTGGCATCCGAAAATAAAATCACGCAGAACTGTGGAGGCGAGCACTGATGAGCCAGCCTCCAACATCATTCTTGACAACAACACTCTGCCAGGCTGGGTATGCTCTTATGTTTACGTGTGTGTATGTATGCATGCATGCATGCATGCATACATACATGCATGCACACATACATCCACACATACATACCGGTGCACATACGAACACACGCACATATATATATATATACATACCCGCATACCTACATATCTACATACCTACATACCTACATACCTACATACCTACATACCTACAAACATACAAACATACATACATATATACATGCATACATACATACCTACCTACCTACCTACCGACCTACCTACCTACCTACCTACCTACATACATACATACATACATACATACTAGAACCACGCGCGCGCTTCGCGCGCGCTTAGGTTCTAGTTAGGAGGCGAGCTTGAGTCAACGAAAGTCGCAGGGAAGGGGGCAGGGGGAAGAAGGCCAGAGAGCGCTGAAGGATACAAATACTGGAACCCTCTTGTGATTTTGTGGGGGGCCTCGTCCGGCCGCTCGCTGGGAGTTTGACGTAGCTTCTCGGGAGCCTCTGAACCTGTCGGGGGCCTCCTGGAAGCAGGTTCGAAGCATTTTGGGGGCCGATTTGGGGCTTCTGGGGGTCTCCTGGGGCCTCTTGAGGGGCCTCCTTGGGGCCTCCTGGCGGCCTCTTGGGGCGGAAGGCTCGAGCTTGCGGTTCGTGGTCCCCCTCTAGGCCTCCTCTTGGGCCCGTCTTGGGGCCCTCTTGGGCCATCTTAGGCGCCTCTTGGGCCGTCTTGGGGCCCTCTTGGGCTGTCCTGGGGCCCTCTTGGAAGCTTCTTGGGCCGTCTTGGGGCGGTCTTGGAGGCCTCTTGGGCCGTCTTGGACGCGGTGAAAGCCCAAGATGCGAACATGCGAAAAATTTACGTTTTCCAATAGGACTGGCACGATTTTTGTTTCTTGGACCTCTTGGGGTGCCTCTCGGAACGTCTTGGGCTGATTTTGGAAGCCTTTTGGCGCCTCTGGGTGGCGTTTTGGCGCCTCCTGGGATATGTTGGGCCGGAAGCTCGGAATTCGAGAGTGGCTTTCTCCTTCTGGGACCCCTCTCGAAGTCGTCTTGGGGTTCTCTTGGGCCGTCTTGGGGCCGTCCTGAGCCACTCGTGCGCAGCCTTGGAGCGCTCCCGGAGGCCTCCTAGGCCGTCTTGGAGGCCTCTTGGGCCGTCTTGGACGCGGTGAAAGCCCAAGATGCGAACATGCGAAAAATATACGTTTCCCATAGGAATGGCACGATTTTTGTTTCTTGGACCTCTCTTGGGGTGCCTCTCGGAACGTCTTGGGGTGCTTTTGGGAGCCTTTTGGCGCCTCTTGGCGGCATTTTGGCGCCTCCTGGAGCCTCTTGGGCCGGAAGCTCGGAATTCGAGGTTGGCTTTCTCCGTCTGGGACCCCTCTCGAACTCGTCTTGGGGCTCTCTTCGGCCGTCTTGGGGCCGTCCTGGGCCACTCGTGCGCAGCCTTGGAGCGCTCCCGGAGGCCTCGTAGACCGTCTTGGGCGCCTCTTGGGCCGTCTTGGACGCGGTGAAAGCCCAAGAGGCGAACATGCGAAAAATATACGTTTTCCCATAGGAATGGCACGATTTTTGCTTCTTGGGCCTCTCTTGGGCTGCCTCTCGGAGCGTCTTGGAGGCTTCTGGGACCTTCTTGGTGTCATGACAGGCGTCTTGGAAGGCATCTGGAGCCATCGGAGCGCGTTTCGAAGCCGCCTGCGAACGATCTTGGACGGCGTCCGGCGGTCCGACGAGCCTCCGGGCCCCCCGGAGCCCACATTTGTGGTCGAGGTCCCGGCCCCGGGCCCCCGGACCCGGTGCGCCGTTATATGTATACATGCATGCATACATACATACATACACGCATGCATGCATACATACATCCATACATACATACATGTGCAAGACTGCAGCGGCGTTTCGTGCAAAGCGACTTGGTCACTCAAGCCTCGCATATGCTGGCATTTAGCGCCGTCCTCTTTGGACTTTTGAACTTCGGCCGTCTCCCGTCCAGTCCCCTCGCCCGTTCCTATCTGCTTTTGCCCTCGCTTCACATTCGCGCGCCACGCGAACTTTTCTTGCGGTGCGCCTTGATTCGAATTTCTAAGCGGACCCGACCACGTGGCGCGAGAACGCCACCTGGAGGGTGCGAACCCAGGATTCGGGTCAATTTGGTGAATTTCGCAGGAAACGCCTTCTGGAAGACGCGCGTTCATGCAAAGGAAAGACGTTCGGGGTCCTTCGCGTGGGCACCACACGGGCTTCCTCGTGGCCAAAGTCGCGCGGTCGCGCATCGCAAGGCAATCGAAAGCAACGCCTCAGTGGTTTTAAAAATACTTCTCGTTCATCCACGCTCACGTCTGGCCTTGCGAATCATGTTCCGTCTGCCGCAAGTCATTTTGCGCAGGCCCCTCGTTGGAGGACGTTTTGGGGGCCCCACGAATGCCTCTCAAGGGCTTCGGGGACCTCCAGAAGCCTCCTGGGCGCTTCGTCGGGCCGTTTTGCGGGTTCTTTTGAAGCCCGCGTGGGCCGTCTTCGGTCCCTCTTGGGCCGTCCTGGGGCCTTCTTGGGGAACTTGGGCCCTCTTAGAAACCTCCCATGGCCTTCGCGGGTCTCTTGGGAGCCTTTGCGGGCCTCGCGAGCTTCTTTGGGGCCGTCTTGGGGCTGTTTGGAGGTTTTCCTGGCCCGGCTTGAAGCCCTGTTGGGCTGTTGGGGGCCTCTGGGCCGCCTCGGGGCGATATCGCAGGCGTTTTGGGCCGTCTCGGACGCTGCTACACAGAAAGCGAAGACGCTAAAGATGTACGTTTCTCTTCGGGAATGGGACGATGTTTGGGAGTTATCCTGAAGGCCTCTTGGGGCGTCTATGGGGCCTCTTGGGAAGTCTTGAAGGCCTCCTGGGCCGCCTTGAGGCCGCCTTGCGCTGCCGCGGAGCTCTCCGGCGCCTCACCGATCACTTTTCTGATTGTTTTAAGCTTGCTGGCAAGGCTGGGCAAGGCGCCTTAGGAGGCGCGGCGGAGCTGGGGGCCTCTTTCAAGGGCATCCAGGGGGCATCCTGGGGGCCCGTAAGCTCCAGATCCACGGGGTCTGGTTTTTTGGGGGGCGTCGGTTTCTCCTGCCGCCCCCCGCATATACACGGGCGGCACTACAATGTTGACCGTATCCTGGAAGTCGCAAAGACAAGTACCACGCCGGCCCCCCACCCCCACCCCCCTGATGCAAAGCTGAGGAGACCGACAAGAAACGACGGCAATGGACCTCATCGGTAACGTCGTCGCATCGATTCGTTGCTCGGCTATGCATCGCTGGGGGGAGGAGGGGGCGCGGGCTGCGTGTTCACCCTGGCGCGGCGACAGATTCGGCTACCACCGCATGGGCACGCAGTGGCACTTCCGTTTCGATGGCCTCCCGAACGGCACAATCTAAGGCAGCGCGGTCAAGAACTCTAGCACCCGGCGAGTAAAAATAGTGCAACGAAAATACACATGTATGCATGTGAACATTTGTGCATGTCTATGTATGTCTTAACTATAAAGTGTATATATATACACATACGCATATACTCTGGAAGGGGTGGAGAAGAGGAGCACGCGGCCACTGAACCTCACCACGGTGCGACTAGCACAGTAGCGTGAAACAGACGATCCCCAGTCAACGAAAAACGCTACGCCGACCTGTCACAAGCAAACTCATGCAATGAACTGTGGCCTGGAAGAAAAAAGAAATTCCGACATGAGTGTGAAAGCCTGAACGGGCAGGGGAGAAAACATGAAAGAGGGCAGACACGGACACGGAGAAACGAAGCCAAAGCCTCCAGAATCCATGACAAGACGATCGACCGAAGTTACAAGACCATGAGGGGGATCCTGAAATCGCGTTGTCCGAGGAGAAAGCGCGCGAAGGATAGGTTGATCACGAATTGCTGTGACTAAAACTGATGTGCGTATATATACAGATGTACGTATCATGCCACTCTATCATTCACTCTCCCTACACGTACATTTGCATATATGTCTGTATATATATGTATATATGCACACCATATACCATATATCATATATCGTAAATCATGTATCATATATCATATATCATAAACCATATACCATATATCATATATCATATATCATATATCATCGGTCATGTATCATATGTTATATATATATAAAAAAAAAAAAAAAAAAAAAAAAAAAAAAAAAAAAAAAAAAAAAAAAAAAAAAAAATATCTTATCGCACTATCGCGCGCGTTTCGCACGCGCTCGAGTTCTGCTTGCCATTGGGGCTAAGCGTATTGCGCGTCAGAGGGGCCGTGTCCGGATGATCGGGCCCTTGGCTTGGAAACGCACGTCTCGTCTTGAGGCTTGCATTCGCGGCAGACCTGGGCTATCTTTGGGCAATAGTGTAACTCTCTTCGGGGCGATGTGAGCCTCCGAAGCCATCTTGGAGCCACGCGTTGGCAAGAAATGGGAACTCCAGAAAAGAAAGGAAACACGTTGGGGTTCCTGTTTGGATCTTTCGTTCGATGCGGCACTCGTGAAAGTCCTGTGCGAGCACTCTGCCGGCTTCTTGGGGCCTCGTTGTGCTGCTGGAGACTTCCTGGGGCTGCCGGGGAGGGCTCCTGGGACCGTCGTGGGCCCCTTTTGGAACCTCCGCACAACTCCGGGAGCCTCCTGGGGGATCTCGGGGAGGGCCCAGGGGAAGCCCCCGGCAGGGAGGCGCCACCTGGGGGACCCGGGGGGCCCCGTGCGTGATGCGGCCTGGGGCCACCGGGGTCGGGCTCCTCCTCCTCCTCCTCCTCCTCCTCCTCCTCCTCCTCCACGCGTGTGGAAGGTTGTGGTGCCAGGGGGCAAGGACGGGAGGCGGCGGGTCGAGCGGAGCGGAGGAGGGCGGGAGAGGGCGGAACCTGGACACGGCGGAGGGAGTATAGGGGAGAAGGACGGTGGAGAGGGGAGGCGGACGTAAAAGGCATTTGGAAGAGGAGGAGGAGGAGGAAGAGAAGGAAGAGGAGGAGGAGGTGGAGGAGGAGGAGGAGGAGGAGGAGGAGGAGGAGCTCAGAGGGAGGACAGTGGGGTGCAGAGTGGAAAGGAGAGGGACGGGGAGGGGCAGGGCGGAGGAAGAGGGACGAAGGGGACAGCACTGAGGCGGGGAAGAGGATGGACGCAGCAGGAGGGCGAATCTACGAGGTAGAAGGCAGGAGGCAAGAGAAGGAGGAAACAGGAGAGAAGAGGGAACGGAGGAAGCTATGCACGAAGAGTATGGAAGAGGGTTGGATGAGGAAGGAGATGGAGGCAAGATGGACACGGAGGAAGGCGCATGCAGCGAGAGGATGCAAAGTGAGAGAGAAAAGGGTGTTGAGGGAAGGGAGGCACAAGGATGAGAGAAGAGGAGCTGGTTGAATCGCCACCGAGGTGGCGACCATGACTTGTTGAGGCTCGCCTGTTTCCAGCCGCGGGCGCCCTGACGCTGACTCAGCGGAGCCTAGCGCCAATTAGACGATGGCAAAAGAACCGGTCATGGCCAGCATCATACAGTTAAGTACAATCAACACGTGTGTTCAGAACGGGTGTTAAGGACGCAAGACCCTTGGAGGCCGAAGCTGGGATGTTTTGGGCGGCGGGCGACCAGTGGTTACGCTACCGAGGAAACCCACATACTTCGTTTGATCACTTGTGTTCGCACAGCTGACGTGCAACATGTGGACAACGCTCGCAGCCGCTACCATGCTGCTACCGTCGAGAGGCGCTCATAGTGGGACCACCCCCTGCGCACCCCATATGGCGTCGAGAAAGTGCCACGCCTGCTTTGTCTTGGACGTGAGGCGCGCATACCGAGAGCACCCCCTGCACACCCCCTATGGGGCCGAGAGCATGCCACGCCTGCTGTGCCCCAGACGAGAGGTGCGCATAGCGGGACTCCCCCTGCGCACCCCCCATGAGGTCGAGAAAATTCCACGCCTGCTGTGCCCTGGAGGAGAGGCGCGCATACCGGGACCATCCCCTGCGCACCCCCTATGCCGATGGGGGCAAGAGAATGCCACGTTTGGTGTGCCCTGGACGAGAGGAGCGCCTAGCGGAACCACCCCCTGCGCACCCCGTGCGGGGTCGAGAGCATGCCACGCCTGCCGTGCCCTGGACGAGAGGCGCGCATAGGGAGACCACCCCCTGCGCACCCCCTTATGGGGCCGAGAGCATGCCACGCCTGCTGTGCCTTGGACGACAGGTACGCATAGGGAGACCACCCCCTGCGCACTCCTTTGTATGGGGTCGAGAGCATGCCACGCCTGCTGTGCTCTGGAAGAGAGGCGCGCATAGGGAGACCACCCCCTGCGCACCCCTATGGGGCCGAGAGAAGGCCATGCCTGCTGCGCTCTGGACTGGTGCTGTGCTGAGCTGAGCTGAGCTGTGCTGTGCTGTGCTGTGCTGAGCTGAGCTGAGCTGTGCTGAACAGTGTTGTGCTGTTCTGAGCTGAGCTGTGCTGTGCTGTGCTGAGCTGAGCTGAGCTGTGCTGTGCTGTGCTGAACTGTGCTGAGCAGGAGAAGGAGGAGGAGGGGAGGTGAGTGAGGGTCGCGGGTGCGACGCGGCAGGGATGAAAACCAGAACCCCACGAAACATGTGGGGAAAAACGGTCAAGGACGGGCCGCAGAGGCAAGGAAACAAGGGTACCCTAGATGAAGGCGCGCGTCCTTACCAGGCGCGTTGACTGTACAGTGACGGCCGGTGGCAGTCGAAGTTGGGGCTGCAGCCAGGCGACCAGCTGACCTCGCGCAACTAAGTGCAGCGTCGTGCCGCAAGGCAAGTCTGGCCCAAAGCACCAACCACCAAATGGCAGGCCCCTAGCCCGCTCAGAGCAGCCCACCACGCGTGACCTGACTGGTCTCCGGTCGAAGTAAAGCAAACCCGTCGCTGACGACTTTCTCAAACAACCTTGTTTCTCGAGCTACGACGGAGAGGACTCCAATGCGAGGGCAGGCGAACGAGATCAAGCCTCGTCAACGCGCGCACTAAGGTGCTCTGTACGCAAGCACCTGAGACTGAACAATTTGAGCTAGAAGATGAACCACTGGAGGGCCATCCATCAAATCTCGAAGTGTGCTGCGCCGTTTCTGGGTCTGGCCACCTATCAATGTCAGAATGGGGTCAAAACGAAGGACTGCGGACCTCTTCAAGCAGCGCGTGAATGGCAATTCCAGTTGTCGGCGCGGCGCACATACCGCTGAGCCCAGCGAAACCCAGGTTAATGGTCGGGCTAGTGCTGCCCGTACCTGACACACAGACGCCCAGGGTCCCTGGATTGCCCACGACGGACCCAACAGGACTCGCGTGAATGCAATAAAAAAACTCAGACCGGCCTCCGCCGCGTGCTCGATGGTGGCGGGAGCATCGATCCCGTATGCTGTATGAGCAAGCAAGCGGCCTTGATCGCCATAAGATATGGCTCTGCCCGAAATCATGTAGCTGGCCGTGGTGGAGAAAACAACTATCCCGTCCATGAACCCAATAAATGGGCTGGTGCATTGGAAAGACGGACGGATGATGTTTACATCGAAGACGGCCTTGTCTGCTGCAGCGGTACACGTATCCCCCAGAATTGGCAAAGGTAACGCTGGCTGACCTGAATCGGTCACGCCGATGCAGTAAAGCGCGGTTGTGAACGTCCCAGGGGCCACCTTGCGTGCCTGAAGATGATGACAGGAACCGAACTCGCGACCACACCTGTGTGTGCTTGATGGCTGTTCGGCTGAATACCAAGAGCCGAGACGGTCAACGCGGCAGCCTCGAACGCATCTGTCAAACCTGCAAGGGACGTATGCACCGCATCTAAGACCGTCGACGCCTATTGCTGTGGATTCCATTGTGCCACATGTTAATCCAAACTCTGTCATCTTTCTTGGGTTTGGTGGTCCGAGTAACGAATGCATAAATGTTGCCGCAATGGTGGGACGTGAGCGGGCGAAGCTGCTTATCAAATGGATTCTCCTCGGGCTCGGGAAAAGCCGCCGTGGCGGCAATTAAATGGCTGGCAAGGTCAGACTCAACCGTGCATACTCCAGCTGACGCTTGTTTCAATGTCTTGGCAGCGTCCTCACCACGTTTAGAGGCGGGCGTGCCGCCGCCGACTGGCCCCCCGAGCAAGCCAGACCCGAGGCAAACGATGGCGCTCAATGCCGGACAGCTGCACTAAATCACGGTGAAGAACGCCGAAATGCGTACCCTGGACGATTTACTGCTCTCATGTTAACTGCGAATGCCGCGCGCACGGAGCCTGCAACATCGTTCACAGTGTCAGTGGACCCCTTTACTATTTTGCACGCCTGCATGTCAGACGCAGCGAGGCCGAATTCGATCACGGCGGTCCAGCGCATGAAGACGGCGATGAAGCAATCGAGGGTGACCATGACCCCTTCCAGAAGATTGGCCTCCGCGTCCGTAAGCGACACACCAACAGCCGATGCCAGCGCGATCAGGTCCAAAAGCGCAAAAGCGCTTGAATACAGACGAGCCGCGACGCACCTGGCACCCGCCTGCAATTGGGCACTATTACTGCTCGGGAATGTGAGTGCCACCAAACTGGGCCCAACGACGGCTTGGACGAAGCTCTCTCGGCGATGATGGCGCATGTCATGGCAGCGATCATGGCCAGTGCTGACAACAGGCCACTGCTCATCGTAAGCGATGCCCTCCAAGAAACAGCAAGGCAAAATCAGCCCATCGAGAACTCCGCTGGGTGCGCGAGTACTGCAGCCGCATCGAGCCACGCTCGCGCGACGATGGCAAGGCTCATCAAACTTGGAAAGCTAAGCAGCGACTCAAGGTCACTCAAATGGAGATCAGAGGTCTAATGCCGACGGGCGAGAGCAGCGAGAGAAGAGGAGGATGAGGAGGCGCGGGAGGGGGAGGACGAGAAAAAGGATGAGGAAGAGTGAGGGGGAGAGTGTTCGCATACCCGTGTCTTCAATTTTAGGCCTGCAAGATGTACCTTGTAGTATTTACCATGGGCCGCCTGAGAACTCTTGAATGCCTGTTCGGGTCTCTGGGGAAACCTCTGGGCAGCCTCTTGGAGGCAGTTTTGAGGCCTCTCGCAGCGCCTTTCGGGGCCTCTTTCGGGTCTCTCTTGGGCCTCTTGGGTCCTCGCAGGCAGTCCTTGGCGGCCTGCTAGCGGTCTTCGGGATCCTCTTGTGACGGAGGCCTCGAAATGTGGGTTCGCATTCCCTCCCTGCCCCCCCCCCCTCTTGGGGCCGTCTTGGGCGGTCCTGAGTGCCTCTTGGGCCGTCTTGGAGGCCTCTTGGACCGTCTTGGGGCCCTCTTGGGGATCTCTTTCGCCGTCTTGGGGCTCTCTCGGGGGCCTCTTGAGCCCTCTTGGACGCTGGACGGTGCGAAAATCGCATAAGCGAATTTGCTAGAAATGTGCGTTTCCCTACCAAGAACAACTAATGTTTACATCTTCGGGCCCTCTCGGGGGTCCTCTTGGAGCCGTCGTGAGACGTCTTGAGGGCCTCTTGGGCAGTGTTGACGCCATCTGGGGCCGTCCGGATGCCACGTTGTGGAACCTACCCTGGAGCCCCGCGGAGGCTCTGGGGAGGCCCTGGGGAGGCCGCGAGGGGGGGAGGGGGAACTTAGTGAATCTCAAGTGCCCCATTGCGTGCTGCGGCCGGGGGCCCTGGGGCCAGGGTCCAGTGTATGGGAGATATGTGCATGCATGCACGTGTAAATATGTGTATGTATACATATATATATATATATACACACACACCCCTTCCGTGGATTTATACGTATATGCTGATATAATCATATTTCCCTGCCCATCCACTGCAATCAATATACATATAACACCGCTCCGTCCCGTGCTTCTGCAGAAACCGTTCGTCAGAAACGTGCAGAAAGGTCCACACTCGACCCCCTCCTCCTCGGTCCTCTTCCCCCGCCTTCCCGTCTCCACTGGGCGCCCCTGCACCTGCTGCACGTCGATGCCGCGCGCCAGCAGATCGGTGGAGATGAGCACGCGGGACGACCCGGAGCGGAACTCGCGCATGACGAGGTCGCGCTGGGGCAGGGAAGCTACCCCTCCTCTCCCCTCCTCGAGGAGCTCCCCCTCCCCTCCCTCCTCTCCCCTCCTCTTCCCCCCTCCTTTCCCCTCCTCCCTCCTCCTCCTCCTCCTCCTCCTCCTCCTCCTCCTCTTCCTCGTCCTCCTCCTCATTCTTCTCCTCTTCCTCCTCTTCCCCCTCCTCTTCTTCCTCCTCCTCCTCCAAGTGCTCCATTTCCTCATCTTCCTCCGCCCCGCCCTCCGCCACCCACCAGTTGGGTCGAGCCGAGACAGTCGGCAGAGTACACTTGGACACTCGTGGGAGACGCTGGTCGCAGCCAACTGCGCACCCAGGAAAGGTCGCGCAGGGAAAAACTACTGGGAGGGGGGAGGGAGGCTGAGGAGTTCGTGGAGGGCGAAATCGGATGTGCGAGCGGTTTCTCGGCACAGCGGGAAAACTGAGCAGGGTACCCAAGAACTGATAAGCATGTGCTCTCGTACAGTCTTATGGCCGCCTCGCAGGGAGCGCGGTTGCGGGCAATCGAACAAATCCTGAAACATTATTTTTTGCCGGCCGCGCGCCACAATTCGCGCAGGCTGGCCCAGGGACCGATTAGCACCCCGAGATACTCGGCCCACGCGCGCACCTGAAGTGATGCCCACTCGGGGACAAGCTGAGCAATGAGCTGGGAGATCCGGGTACACTCCATCATCGCGCACGCGACTGCCAACGGAGCTGCTACGCACTTTTTGGCCTGCAGTGCTGGACCGGCCAAGCGCTTGGCGAGCACGAGGGTGACAGATAGGAGGGGCCGGAGTCGAGTCTGATTCAGGACAACTCCTACATCATCCGCGCAGGCGCCCAGTGGCTGCAGCTTTGTTGGGAGAGAGGAGCGACGAGGCGGCGGAGGAAAAGGTCGAACCCAAGGGCCCAAAGAGGCCCGGGGAGGGATGGCAGCCCTGGGGAACGCCGGCGGTGATTGCAAACATTGGGATTGCCTCTGACCCTATTAGCATGTGCGTAGGAGCGTCGGAACCTAGAGCAAGCACGACCCACCGGATACTCTGCGGAATGCGTGACCTCTCCAGCACCATGCGCAGCCAGGTCTGGCTCATACTGGTAAAAGCCGCGCGAACATCAAAATCTAAGCAAAATGGATCCGTGTCCGCATCTACGACGCTCGCCCTCCTAGCAGCCGAGTCCATGCTGACGATCTTGCAAGCCATGGTTCGCTCCTTTACAAAACCTTGTTGGACCCCGTGGGTCTGTTGAACCACCATGTGCTGCAATTGTTCGCTGACCACAGCCGAGAGGAGCTTGCTGCCCCAATTATTGAGCATGAGGGGTCGGAGTATCCCCGTCTCTCGCACGCAGTCTGTGGTGTCCCTAGGCCCCTCGCCCTTGGGAGTGAAAGCGAACATGCTGTGGTTCAGGCCAGCTGGGGTGAGCTTGCCGCCCATGAGGGAAAGGCGGAAGCGATAGAGGACGGAGGGGCATTCAGGGTTGCCTTTCAACGCAGCGTGCGTGCGACGATCTGGTCCTGGAGCCGAGACCCGCGCTCGGCTCAGAAACTGTGCCAGCTCTTTCTCAGAGGGGATGTGGAAGTCAAGAGCGGGGAAGTCAGACGTCGAGCGGCCCCAAAACTCAGCAGCTTCGGCCTCGGGGCGAGGACGCGCCGCGAAGACGGGCTTCAGGGAGCGTCAGCCACGGACACGAGATCTCGCACGATGCCGCCCTGATTGCCGCCTCGGGACCATCTCCGAAGACTCCGCGCGGTGAGGCACCAGGGGAGCATGTTCCAGGCACCAAGGGATCATGACGGGACCATCTCCGAAGACTCCGCGCGATGAGGGCCCCGCGGGAACCTGAACGTCTGTCTCCAGAGCGTTCGGGCGAGCCCCCGCCGGGGCACACTTCGAGCCCCGCGCCCGCCTCCGGAGGAGGGGGGGCAGAGAAAGGAGGATGGGCAGAAGGGAGAAAGGAGGGGGGGGAAATGAAGAGCGCTGGGTCAGCGAGCGAGAGCGGGGACGGAATGATGATGATGATGATGATGATGATGATGATGATGATGATGATGATGATGATGATGATGATGATGATGATGATGATGATGATAAGAATGGTAGTGATGATAAGGATGATAATGATGATGGTGATGCTGATGATGCTGATGGTGATGATGAAGGTGATGTTGATGGCGATGATGGTGGCGACAGTGATGGTGGTGGCGGTGATGGTGGTGGTGGTGATGGTGATAGCGATGTTGATGGTGACGGTGATGCTGATGATGACAATGACGACGACGCCAACGACGACGATCACTGCACTCTCCCCGGGCGCAGCTCATCCTCGGGCGAGAGCAGCTCGCGCTGTTTGCCTCTTCTTGGCGATAGCTCGGGCGCGGGCAAGGACGAGCGGACGAAGACACTCTGGCCCCCACCTGTTCCGTGCTCTTAATACATTAAGAGTAATTTACAACAGATCACGCACGAGGAACAGGCGATGCAGTTTACGGCGATCGAGGCATTCGGAAGACGTACACAACACGCACACACACACACACACACTGTCAGCGACATGTTGCTAAAAGACCGCGGACAGGAGAGGACTCACGACGCGGCAGTGATAATAGTGCAAGAGACAGCCGCCGCATGTTGCACAGCATGCGAAGCGACAATGGAGACGGCCCTGCCGAAATATCGCTGAGGTGGCCCCAACATTGCCATCACTTCTGAGCATGGCAGACCAAACCAACGGGGTCAGCTGAGCGCAGGCGCACCGCAACCAAAGGAATACACGATCCACAATACTACCACGGACTTGAAGAAAAGCATGGTGGATCCGCAGGGAAAGCAAAGCTGTCTCTGAGCTTTGGTTTGCAGTTCGTGGGGAATCCTGATCGAACACGTTCCAGTGCAGGGACTAGACCCTCCGATAGTTCTGAACCAGTTGCATGGCCGTGCTCTCCTTCCTCCTATACCTGATGATGATGGCGACGATGATGACGATGATGAGGACGAAGGCGAAGTGGAGGACGAGGTGCGAAGGCCAAGGTGCGAACAGGAAGATACGACATCTCCGTGGCGAATGACCCAACCACGTGCGCTTGTGAGTACCGCGTTTTGGGTACCGCTTTCGGTGGAGCTAATTATGGGGTCACGAAGCGTGCGAGGGGTGTTCCAGGATGGGCGCGGGGGCGCATGCGGGCCCTGCCACTGGGGCATTCGGTGGGGCTGCACGTCGGGCCACGAAACGTGAGGGGTGTAAAGAAATGACCGCATGCGAAACCCCCCTCCTAGACATTGGTGAACGACCGCATGCGAAAACCCCCTCTCGGGTGGCTTCGATGGGGCTACGTATGGGGCCACGCAACGTGTGAGGGCTGTGCCGAAATGTGTGGAGATCCGCATGCGAAACCCTCCTCCGAGGGCCTTCGGTGGATCTCCCCCAAGGGGCCACGGAACGTGCGGGGGGTGCCCCGAAGTGATTGGCACGCGGAGAGGTGCGGCAGGGACGGGGAGGCAAGAAGGAGGAAGGAGAGGAGAGACGGGACGACGGAGAAAGGACGACGCGGATTGACGTCCCGTCACAGCGGTGGCCCAGCGCCACAAGATGGCCGGGAAACATCAGAAAACACAGGAGGGGAAACGGGAGATGCAAGGACGAGGACGACGATGAGGCAGCGGAAGAGGAGGTGAGCACGAGGGCGACGGGGCAGTGGATGAGACGCGGGGGCTCATCACCTTCCTGCGCCTTTTCTCATCAAGAGGAAGGCGGGAGCGGAGAATCTACGAGGTCGAGGGCGCCTCCTTCTGGTCGAGCTCCGCGTGCATCGTGGAGATCGTGAAGTCCCGCTTGCTCAGCTGGTCGGCGAGGAAGTCCACCTCGCAGTCGGGGAGCACAAGCGACCCACCCGGATGGATGGCTAGAAGAAATGCGCGATTCTGCCGACGGGGCTTCTGATACTGCCGACGGGGCTTTGGAAATGAGGCGAGGCCCCCGTGCTGCTCGATCCTGCTAGGCGGTTCCCGCTTCTGGCGAGAAGTTTCTTGCGTCAGAGTGTAGCCCCTATGGACGGCCCAACAAAAAACGCTCCCAAATAGGATCCCGGGTGGAAGAGGAAAATCAAGGAGCAAGACGAGGACGCCGACGTCGGCGGTCACAAGAGAGTCCTCGATGCCTGGGGCAGGGGCAACAGGATCCTCGCGCTCAACACGTGGGGGAAACTGACACCACCACAAGCTGGAAGCCGGGAGCTACGCTGGTTTGGCCCATGGTGCAACGCCTCCTCCTCATCTTTTTCATCCTTTCTCCTCCTCCTCCTCCTCCTCCTCCTCCTCCTCCTCCAAGCCTTGCGCCGCGTGTTGCAGTAGATGATCGCCTGGGTGATGGTCAGGGTCTCGTACAGATCGCACAGCGTATCCAGCTTCCATTCCTCCTTCTCGATGGCCACGTAGAACTGCCGGATACCTCGGGAGGGTGAGGAAGGAGAAAGAAGTCAGGCAACAAGCATCGACATGGTCACATTGTGGGGAAAGTGCAAGGTAAGGCTGCCAGTAAGCAGACAAAAAAACATGAAAGCGCAAGCGCGCAAGCAATGCGAGTAACACAACTTCGCCAATACCGTAACACATGTGTACGCGCGGGCAGGCACATGTATGATGACATCGTATTGCGATGCCACTGCGGAATTGCCAAGATGGCTTGCAAGACATGTATACAGTATTTGACAACATACGTCCCTGCTCCCAACTGACAGCTTCCAGTGGCAAAGGCCGCCCGCGCGGCATCACCAAGACGGGCTGGCACGGCGGGGCCAAACAGGCCATCTACTAAAGAGAACATAATATTCCACGGCATCAAGCATACAACTAGGCAGACAAAGTATAAAACACGATATCAAGCCTTGCAATCAAACACGCAAGCGGGCAAGTGCGCAGGATAGCTTGACGGCTCATAAGTAAGAGCGTCAGCTAGATTGCAAGGAGGTGTGCAAGCAAACAAGCTTGCAAGACATCTAGAAAGTTAGCAGCACGTTAAATAAGCAAGGATGCAGGCGGGCAAGCAAGCAAAAAGACTTGCACACAAAGGCGGTTGCAAGCAGGCGTGGATCCGGGCAAGCCGACATTGGCAGGCTGTCCTGAAGTACACTGGCTCGCCCTTTTCACTAGAAAGCGACCAAGCAAGCAAGGGAGACAGCTGGTGACCTTTGCAAGAAGCACCAGCAATGTTGCAAGCAGCCTCGCAACATGGTAAGCCTGCAAGCGGCCGAGCAAGCAAGCAACAAAAGATGCAAGGCGGTTGGCGTAAAAACGGGCCCCTCTTGCGCGCACACACGAAACGACGAAGAGAGAAGCAGCATGAAAGAGGAAGGAAAGAGAGAGAGAGAGAGAGAAAAAAAAAAAAGGACTTGGAGACGGGAATGAAAATGAGAGGGAAGGGAGGAGGCGAGGGAATTCCGGAAGGAGGAGGGATAGGGAAGAGGAGGGTGAGGCGGGGATAGAGGATGGAGGAGTGTGAAGGGATGAGGGAGGGATGAAAGGACAGATAAGGGACGAGAGAAATCCAAGGGAGGGTAGGACAGAAGAAGATAACAAGGAACGAGGAGGTGGTTGCGGAATCAGACGGGTATTGCAAACACGAAGGCACGAGCATTCATGGATAGAACGGCGCAGGAGCGTATTGCAACTAGACTATGCCTGTTCATGTTAGCGACTTATCCCACTACTCCTTCCCCACTTCCTCCTCATCGACCGCCTCCTCCTCCTCTTCCTCCTCCTCCTCCTCCTCCTCCTCCTCCTCCTCCTCATCTGCCGTATTCCTATGAGCATAACATCCTCCTCATCCTCTTCCTCCTCATCCTCTTTCCTCTCAGGTCCTGCAGGAGGGGGAGCAGGGGGGAGCGGGAGGCTAAACACACGCGAGAGACAGAGGTCCCTTCGAGGGAGCATGGGCAGAAATGGGGCGCCCTCAAATCTGGGCGACGCCAGGAAAACATAGTGGCCGGCTGTTCCTCGTGCTCGGCCTGAGGAGGCCGTTTCCTGGCCCAGAAGCCGCAACAACAACATCATCCACAACAACATCAACAACAACAACAACGACAAGAATAATAACAACAACAGCAACAACAACAACAACAACAACAACAACAACAATCATTTTACCCGAACGCTCAGTGTTCTCCCCAGTGCCAGGGTTTTCTTGCGACACCAGCCAATACCCCCACTTCGTGGGGGGGCCGTTCAAGCTCTACCAAATATCCAAACGACTCTTCGAGACCACCCACACCCAGCTTCCCGCCCTATGACGTTGGGACACTTCACTTCGTGGCGTGCGGACGACCCTGGCTACTACACTGGCGTGGGGTACACACCCACAGAGGTTGATCACATCTGTTACATATGATGTGGTACACGGTACACGTGAGATGGTACGCAGTGCCAAGATAGTTGGTCACATTTTTGGGGCAAATTCGTGGGGATGCGATTACAGAAGTACATGTGTTACACTGATGTTATACAGTCCCAAGGATGACGCATGCATTGCTCATAGACTCATGGCGCTATGAT